GTCCCTGGTCGTTCGAGTGAAGACAATGCGACTCTCCTACGAGACGTATGTGACTATCTGGAAGTTAATGAAAGAATGGCCTGTGCCTTTATATCGATAGATCAAGAAAAAGCGTTTGATTATGTTGACTGGGGCTTTTTAGACAGAATTTTAGATACCATGAACTTTGGTCCACAATTTCGATCATACATTAAATGTATTTATCATGATATTCAGAGTGCTATAATCTCCAATGGTTATGTTTCAGAATTTTTTTCAAGTGCAACGAGGTGTACGACAAGGGTGCCCGCTATCTCCATTGTTGTTTGTCATAGTGGCGGAGGTGTTTGGACAAGCGATTCGGAAGTGCCCAGAAATACAGGGATTGCGTGTGCCTGGAGGGAAGGAAGTGAAAATATCACAATATGCTGATGATAACACCTGCATTGTTACCAATTCATATGGCCTTGTTAAAGTCATCGATGTCTTTAATGAATATGGTCGAGCATCCGGAGCAAGGCTTAATACAACGAAATCAAAGGGTCTTTGGCTCGGTAGGTGGCGATCTCGTACTGATTCACCCTGTGGTCTAACGTGGGTTAACACGAGCTTAAAAATTGTTGGTATTTACTTTGGTTCCGAAAATGTAAATATCCAGTCATGGGCAGAGGTTACGGCCAAATTCAAGGGAATATTGAAGAAATGGGAACCACGGTATCTAACGTTACGGGGGAAAATGACGGTGATCGGGAGTCTGGTGGCTTCGACGCTTTGGCATGTGGTAAAGATATACCCGCTAACGCGTGAATGTATTGCCTCGCTACAATCAGAAATTTGGAAATTCGTTTGGTCAAAGAAACCGGAGTGGGTGCGTCGGGAAACGTGTATGTCAGACTATCTGAATGGGGGTCTGCGAATTATTAATCTTGACATCAAAAGCAAAGCATTGTTGATTGGTCGTGTTTTCCGATTTTTTGAGGAGAGTGAGGCACCTTGGAAAGATTTCATGCGTTATTATATCGGACGGTCTTTAGGCATAAACGATAACTCGAGACCAAATAGCGACATTCCAACTCCGTTTTATAGTCATCTTCTTCGTGTTCTGAGAGAATTTGCTGTTGATTTGGGACAACCTCGCACGAGTAAAATGTATTATTTAAAACGTATTGAAGATTGTGTTACCCCGGTACAAGCAAGAAGCGAGTTAGCTTGGAATCAAAGATTTGGTCCTGGTTTAATCTGGAAAGAGATTTGGACAGATGTCGCTCGAAGTTTCAATGATCCAGTGTTACGTGATTTTGATTGGCGCGCGGTACATCGGGTTTTGCCTGTCAATTTCAGAGTGCATAAATGGTATTCAAGAATATCCTCAGCATGTGCACGGTGTGGTGAAAGAATCGAAACATTGGAACACACGTTGATTCATTGTCCGATGGTAAAGGAGCTGTGGATGTTTATTCTGAAACTGTGCAATCAAATTGATGCATCGGTTATTGGTCTGTCAGAACGGAATATGTTGTTGGGTTGTTTCCCGCGAACAAGAACAAGAGACCTTTTGCGTTACTTAATTAGTGTTGGCAAATTTTCCGCGTGGAAAGAGCGCGTGTCATATCAGTTTAGGAAGGATGAGAAAATCAACAGTCTTGTATATTTTAGGAATTATGTGCGAACTCGATTAGAAACAGAACAGGGCATCATGGGCACGAAAAACTTTGAGTCAAAATGGTGTTTAAACAATGTCTTAGCATGTGTCACAAACGGTATAATTCGAACTTTGATCTAACAGTCAATATTTGTGTGACTTAATGTAAATAATTTAATGTAATCTAATGCATGTGAATTGTGTGTCAAATAATTTTGATTCCCCGTAGTGATATACACTATGTGGGGTTTTTAATAAAAAATTACTCTTACCTAATGGTAGAGTTTTGACGGGCTCTGAGGTACACGGCTGTTGTCTCTTTCTCGACTTAGAGACCGTGCAACGTTTTCAAGTCGAAAAGGAGATGTGGGTCTTGATTTGTCCTGCAAATTCATGTCCCGAATTCAAGACTCATGCCAGGTCTTGAATTGAAAATGTAAAACCAGGTAACTGGTTATTATTTTTTCGTAATAAACCACCGGGTAGCAGGTTATTACGGAAAAATAATAACCTGGTAGCAGGTTATTACGGAAAAATAATAACCTGGTAGCAGACTAGCAGGTTATTATTTTTCCGTAATAACCTGCTACCCGGTTATTATTTTTCCGTAATAACCTGCTACCCGGTTATTATTTTTCCGTAATAACCTTCAACCCCGTATTTCCCCCGGAGAAATCAAATACCACCGCCTGCTTTTAGATTGAAGGTTATTACGGAGGAGTTAGAAACCGACGAAATACAAAAGAATATGGTCTGATGAGTTTGTAAATGTTACTTGAGTATCGATTTTGTTTTATCATATCAAAAAAGATCTGTGAAATGATATCTTTTGGTTTTGGGGGGAAAAATCAGCAGCGCGACATTTTCCCGGCATTTTAAATTCAAATTCTTAAATTTCAATTCGGATAGAACCGCAATGCTCAAAATATTTTTGCACTGAATTCACATTAAGTGGAACTGATGATAATATTTGGCCATTTTGCTCGCAATGATCATTTAATAGTTGAAAGACCCGATATTTATTGTTACGAAAAAACTAAACGCAATAGAAAGTAATTGGATTTCCTTTTTATAATTAACCCCCACTCGGCTATTTACACCCGGGAAAAGGAAACCATTAGCGAAGTCTAATCAATAACCGCGGGTGCATGATGTTATGGGTGGACCAGTGAGCTCCATAAATAACTGGAGTAAGAACTTCAGTCATTCGCTGCCTCGTACCCAGGCGCTTTGGTTTTTTTACGTCATTAAGCGCTAACTGCGCACAGAATTCGTACCACATAGCGCCTGGGTACGAGGCTGAGTCATTCGGCTTATGTGAAGCCAACACAAAGCTGGCTTCACTTTTTGGATTTGAATTCTCGCTTCAGATATATATGAAGCCAGCATGAGCTCCACCTTTGAATTTACTATATGAGTAAATTCTTATAAACACGTCCGAATTTATCATTATGATCAATTCGCGGCACATTTTGAATTTATTATAATGATAAACTAACTTTTCACTAACCTTTTTAACCTTTTTGAAAATCTAACTTTTTTTCTTTTTTAAAACTTTTTTAAAACTTTTTTCCTGAAAATCTTGGGAATCTGCCCACCACCGCGCGACAAGCCTCCTTTTAGTGACATTACATTTATAGCAAAAAGTCTTGTCTAATGCATGTGGTTTTATGATTAACTCTATTGATAAATTCAAAATGTGCCACGAATTTATCATAATGATAAATTCGGACGTATTTAGAATTTACTCATATAGTAAATTCAAAGGTGGAGCTCATGTTGATGAAGCTCACTGGGTGGACCTCCTGATCTCAAAAGTATGGTGAATTTCAGGGGTGACATTAGTATGATTTGTGGGGGAAAAGGGGAAAAAATTATTCAGAAACCCGAAAAATCATTAACAAGTTGAGCAGCCAAACACTTTATTTGTTTTTGCTTTATAATAAAAGATCAGGGCCAGGGGCAATATATT